TCACTGTTCTATAAGCCTAATTCTAGTTGATAGCAAGGCTTTTGAAAAGTCCTTTTTATACTGCAATAATTTCATAACCTCTTTGAGGTATTTGCAACAGGAGGGGAAAAAACCGTTATAGACATTCAGATATCTACATCACTGTTCTATAAGCCTAATTCTAGTTGATAGCAAGGCTTTTGAAAAGTCCTTTTTATACTGCAATAATTTCATAACCTCTTTGTGATAATTGAGAATTTCCAAACTGTGCACCCAGCACATGCAGCAATTGTAGAGCTGATATAACAGATCTTTTATTAAGATATTGAGCAAGCAGCCTTGGAATAAAGTCATGGGGTTTCACTGTCAGCTCAAGAAGGTACCCTAGAATTTTAATGGTCATGCAACTACACTTAAGAAAGACCAATGCAGGAAGCATTTGCTTCACAAGGTGCTAGTTTGACTAAACTCAATTATAAATTATGGCATTTATTGTCTCTAGGGAAACAGTATTCTGTAACCTACAAGAAGTATGCAAATATTTTTCCTATATAAAGTTCACTTTAAATGTTTTTGTTGTAAAGTAAATATTCCAACTCGGTATAACCCTAAATCTGTCTGTTCCATGATAGACATCTTTTTGTTTATCAATACACATGGGAATAATGGAATAATACTTTTTATTTGGTTTCCTTGTTTAATATCTTTTTGTTTATCAATACACATGGGAATAGTGGAATAATATTTTTTTAGTTTCTTGCTTTTGGTTTCCTTGTTTAACTATACTTTTCTGTATCTAGCTCAGAGCAGATATAACAGTTGTGAAAGCTTCCTTTCTTCAGCATAAAGCCTTTCAAAGTTATCAGTGAGGTCTGGGGTTTCCCAGGAATGTTATGTCTGCACTGTTAACTGAATTTAAAGCTTGAGGACAAAGAAAGAATAAGGAGACTCGGGCAAAGGAATTGATGCAAAATCTTCTACATGAGGAGCAGGAATGGCGAAGAGAAACTTCTGGTTTTGTTACATTCTAGGACACCTCTCCAGCTACTCTTTTCCCTTCATTTCTACTGCTCATAGAACTCACTATGAATTCTATGAGCAGTAGAAATGAATTTCTATGAATGAGAAAATCCTCCCTGTGATTTTTAAAGTGTTTCATCTAAATGTTACCACCTACAGGTTTCAGGAAGTTTTAGCTATCTGAATGTTTTTTGCGCTTCTTCATTTAGTGAATTCTCAGCTAACATTCCTTTCTTTTCTGTGTCCCAGCAACCAAGGCCTTGTGAGATGCCATGAAAACAATGTCAGCAGAACTTCAGTTTAACTGAATTTAAAGTTGGAGAGGGGGGGCATTGGGAGTAATTTATGGGGGAGGCGTCTAACCTGTAAATCTAGTCGATACTATTTTTGGTACGTCTGTGTTATCTTACAGTTGATCTAATGCTAAAATCTCACACTCCCTCCCTTTTCTTTTTTTTCTTCCCAAAACATTAAATTCACTGGCTTTTAACCAAACAGCAGGTATGTCTGAGAACATCATGCTCTTGGGACCCCGGTAATTGATAATTAGAATTTTTATATATATATATTTTTTTTTCTTTCTAGGCACTACAGCCTTGACAACCAGCTTGTTAACTTCAGTCTTAGCGGTGGGATTCATGGGGACCAACACAGCATTTGTTATCATGCACCTATCAAACTTCTTCAGAATGCAACAGCAGCCTTACGTGGGAGAAGACAGTGCATACTGAAGCAGCCTATTGATTAGCTTTATTTTTATACTTTATTTTTGCCTAACCCTCAGCAATCTGTCGGGTAAAAATGCAGCATCTTCAGTGATGGCTGTTTCTTGGGCAGTGCTGTAGCAGAACTGTTTGAGAATGTGGCATGCTGTGGGATTATCAACTCATGTTTCTGTGACGCCATCCACAAAAGCACCAAGGAGCCTTCCTGAGGATGTTAAGGTATGTCTTCAAAAGCTATACTAATTTTTCATTAAGTTTTTGTACTGTCACTGGTCCAATGGACTTTTATTTTAAAGGTTGTTGTCAAGCCATTCACATACTAAGAAGATATTTCCCGCTTAGCTGTGAAAGCATCTTGATGTGTATCTAAAATCTTGTTGATATGACGAAACATTGGCATTTCTAATGTATGTGTTACCTGTAATTGCTATTCAGATTCAGTATCATGCTGTGACTTGTTCTATGTAGCTGTCCTGGAATTTCAGGTATATGGTGGTTTCGGACCACTAATGTGGCCAACCTCACAAATGTGAGGCCAACTACAAAAAACTTTAACCAAATACCAAAACTCCAAAAGCTAGCTGACTGGATGATGTTTGGACAATGTATGATTATGAAACAAATTTTTCTACAAGGAAAATGACAAACGTGCATTTATGACAGTGAGCTCCAGAATTCTGCTCACCAGAGCCAACACTTGTCCTGGAGATGAATATCCCTTAATTATCAATAGGAATAGTAACACGTATACATGATAATTGTATTCTTGTCACTGGCATAGTGAAGAGACACTCCCATCTGTTGAAGATATTTTACTTTATCCTGTGGAGAGACAGAATGCAGGTGTGAAATTGCCTGTTGTGTCACATAATGTGTGTCCCTTGTACACTGTTTCATGCTATGGGAAAGCTGGTACCTTTTTCTTCTGAGGTTGATTTGAAATTCATCGTGTTTGGAATAATCTATACAGCACGTGAGCTTAAGAGACATCAGTCTTACTGGTGCCTGAAACTTCAATGCAAAATAATCCCAAATTCTTCCTTTGTAATTAGTGAATATGGTTAATATGCACCTTGCTAGATATATTAAAGGGAATATAGCACACATTAAATTGGAGTGATGAAAAGAGAAGGGCACTGCTTATTAGTGGTGGATGGTTCCAAGTCTTTGACTATAAACTGAGTCAAGTTTTGCAAAATCTTTTCTGTCCCCCTTGTAAAACTAGTACCATTTGCTAATGGTAACTCACTGTCTAGTAGTGACACCACCGTTGCTTGGTAAAATGGCTAAGTTCACTTGAACAGACCAGTAAAACATTGTCTTCCATGAACTAGACTTATGGTCTAAATATCTTACATGGGTATGAATCAGCCTAAATTCCTAAGTTAGTGTTCAGCAGTACGGAGATCAGAATCTGATGGTCATAAGGTTACTGCTAATCCTGTGTCACACCATCCCATCATTCTGCCTGCCCTTGGGCAGCAAAGGCCTTAGTCCCTCTGTATAATGGGGACTAGTAGTTCTGCCGTTAACTTACTGGGATCAAGATCACCTTCTTGCATTGCAAATAGTAAAGCATTATGCAACTATTGTAAGATACTTGTCTAAGTGTAATTAGATCGGGACAAAGTGCATTCTCCTTTCCTCAGGGAGTTATGTACAGTACCTTGACTGGAATAGGAGACAGATTTAACCTGATTGAATCATTAAATGGAAATATAAGACAATGAACATTAGCCACTTAGTTCGTTTCATAAACTCTAATAATTAAAACTGCATGTGCAATAATAATGGCTATTCCAGATATCGAAGTAAGGTATGTTTGATATGTTGTGGCATAGGCATAATGAAAACATTGACTTAATGGAGGATCTATGTAATAAGAGTTACGTGCAGAACCTGCAATTGGAAATATATAAACACATTTCCCAACAGAATTTCACTATGTCACAATTCATTAAGAAAACGGGCAATAACTGACAAGATAGGCACAAAATGGATTTTCATGTTGCTGGGATGAAGTATGGCTCCCAGCAATTAATGGTTTTAGTCATATTAAGCAGATAAATAATGCTATTTGACATTACAGTATTTCACATTACACTAAAATTTTGTAACATTTGCTCATAATATGACTTGAAATATGTTACCTAGGAAAACAAATGTTATCTCTGGAACAGTCAAACCCCATTAGAAACCTCAGGCTTGAAAAATCACAATGTTAACAGTTATATCCCCTAGCAAAGGTTTGCTTTCCTTAAATAGTGTTAAATTTAAACCCAGAAGCTCTAGTCTCTTTTGGAGTTACTCTTCCTTAGTGCATCGAGCTTGAAAGGAAAATTTAGTGCATAAAATGTACTGTGCATTACTGAATGTTGGAAAGTGAAACACTATGAAGAGCTGCAGAAAGAGGGTAACCTTTACAGTGATATCACATCAACGATACTTATGTTCTCTAAAAAAAAGGTTTTATATTCTGCTTTGTAAGAAAGCTGACAATCTTAGTATGACCCCGTTACCCATTATTGATAAATAATTTGATTATTGTAAACCTCATTCTAATTGGCATGTTTGCTTTTTTCACAACTGGATATAGTCTACGTGAGTACCATTCTTGCTGTAAAAAATCTTACAGCAAAATACTATGGGTCTAAATTTCTAGTTCCTGTTTGCATGACTAAGTCCTCTGATTTTAGCATTGCTACTCGTGTAAATATAGTTTTATACTGAAAAAATGCCTGATATGTTCCAAGCCTTAATAGAAATCAAGAACAAACACGGGAATATGATTTCGCACTCATTTGATGCTAATTCTATTCCAAATTCATTGAGTAACGTGGAAGAAAATGTGATTGCTTGTCAAAGCTGAGATGCAGTATTTTGTTGGGATAGAACGCAGTGGATTTGGAAGTGTCATGTTTAGCTGAAGGCAACGATGCTTAGTGTCTCAGCACCCAACTCCCACTGAATTTCAACAAGAGTTAGCAAACAACCTTCCCCTGGGCTCCAGTGAAAATCCTTGGCTTGAGTATCCTGTCTGAGCCGCAGTTTCACTTACAGGAGACAAGCTTTTTTTTGAGGTCTTTTAAGGTATTGTTTCCTGAAACAGCAGTAGATAATCTGCATGCAGAGAAAGTACTGCAATTCTCTTATTAAAATACAACGATGTATGTATTTCATGAAAGGACTACTAAAAAAAAAAAGGTCTCACGATCGTTAGGATTATTGAGTACAATTAACTGTTCTAAATCCAAGTCATGAACAAAACAGATAATCTTTTACATGTGCCAAGATACAATTTTATTGCTTCTCATATAACACTGCATTTAGGGATTTATTTAACTTGAGGGTATGGAAAGAGCAAAATGGGTTCGCTTATGTCTTGTGACATTTGCCCTACCGTATGTTAGTGGAAGAGGTAGGGACTTTTCACAGACACTGCTGGAAATGTCATAAGAAATGCACACCAAAAGCTTAATAATTGTGCTAGAAAGAACATGTAATCTCTGCCAGGCTCTAATATCTAGATTTAATTATCTTCAACTGAAAGATGTAGAACATTTCACCACAGTTCTTACATGACTGTACATAAATGACGCTGTCTACGGACGTCACAGTTCTGCATTGTCTCATGATGATTTTCACAAACTTGTTAAATTGCTGCAGTATATCACAACCTGGGAGTCTAAAAGCTCCTCCCTGGATGGTTGTGTTATCACCAGTGTGTGATGCTGTACACCAAACCTTCAAGAAACCGGCCAATGAGCCAAGTTGTGGAGCCCTAATCTCCTAGTATTAGGATAGTAGTGTGTTAGTGTTATTGCACCTTCATAGTATCAAAAAGAAGTATTGGTTTTATTGTGCTTATTTTAAAACCAGTACACTTAAAAACAACCACAATTATCTAAGTTGGGTATATAAAAATATACACGTAACAGCTCACATTATACAGTAAAAAAGAAAGCACCTGTGTTGAAAGTTTGCCCCTTTCTTTAGGAGGAAAGCTGTCTTCGTGTAGTTGCTTCAGTAACATGTACTTACTCGTATATACATACAAAACCAGAATTTTAGCCACGTTAATCTGTCCTCTTATGTGGCAGGGAAGACAGAAGGCCCAGAGGGGTGATATGTCTCATTCTTTCTCCATCACAGAACTGCTGCCATTCACACTGTGTGAACAAGAGTAGGGCTTGGGTGAAGTGCGAAAAGCACGAGACAAATTATGCTCCATGTGGCATAATTCCTCCCAGGAAACAGCATAACCAACAGCCCACAAACAATTGTACGTTGTTCTGCTGTCAGTAGGAACCCTACAACCCTCGCTGAGGAGTGCCGGCACGCGGTGTTGGGCTGTGTGTCCCATCTCTGGACCGTGATGGGGGTTAGAGAGAGGGGCCAGTTGTCCAGGTTGCACCTGGAAAGCTATGAACCAGAGGGCTGCTGGATACCTTCTTCAGCACCTCTGGCCCAAACTGGGAGAGAAGAAGAGTGTGGAAAAAAAAAAGGCTGTGGATCTTGTTGTGTCAAAACTTTTCTATGGATAGGAGGGTCAAAGTATAACTCTAAATTGTTAAATGCTATTACAAAAGACGGTTTTAACTTAGTCTGTTTAAACATTAGGTTCCTTTCTAATCCTAGCTGCATTTCACTATAGTAAAAAATGAATTTTCTTCAAATACCCATTATTAAAGATCCTTGCAATTATGCTCTAGAAGTGCCTGTTCCACATCAGGCTCTAATCTATTAAGAAGTTACCTTTTTTCCAAAATAAAACTGTAGTAATTAGATATTGTTTTTAAGCATGTGAAAAGAGTAAAAAGCTATTTCTATACAGTTTCTGAGGTAATAAGCTGGCATGTTAAAAATACATTAATGCAAGTCGTTCAGTTGTGAGTGTGTCCTTTGCCCATCTTCCCAAAAAGAGGGGATGGACACAAGGATTTCAGTGAAGTGGAGAATAGGTTTGTGGCATATACTGGCTGGTATACTGTATCATAGCTCATCATGGTTTCTTGTGAGGTCCTCCCCATAATTAGTAGCTTGGCTTCCGACAAACATATTCCAGTTGTCTAGAACCTCCTCTTTCGTTAGTTTTTGATCCTGGTGGAAGGAAAATAAAATTTCTGTAAGAACATTTTCAAAGCTAAGTAAAAGATACACCGGCACGGACTTATGAGAGCCCTGAGAAACAGACAGTTCTTCAAAGCAGCAGACTGCAGGTTCAGGAATCATTGTAGCTGTCATGGTGAGTGAAATTTGGACCCCAGTGGAAAACAGAAGTCCCACTGGCTTCAGTTGGGTCAAACTGCTAATCGAAGGTTCTTCGTTATTAACCCATATACTGTTTGGCAGTTGAGTTACCTGGTATGCAGTTTTACCCCGTGGTTTGGTTTTGCCTTCCTGACAGTAAAAAGGAAAATCCTCTGGTGTACTTTGTCAAAGATGGTTGCTTATGTTAGCAGTTTATACTCTCTATGTAAAAGTGTTTTGGCTTTTCAGGTTCCAAATTTGCTCACATCACATTTCTGAGATCACCATCTGGGATCTACTGAACCATTAATCTCCCACATTAGAGGAAGTAGATGCATTGAGCTAGTCTTTAAGTCAAAAATGTGTATTTGATTATAGAAATGGGAGTTTTTGCTACTTCCTCCGTAGTGTATCTTTTATTTTTCTCTTGCAGGCTAAATTAGCATACAAAAGGCATGACCATTCTTAAAAGAAAAAAAAAGAGTATTTCTACTGTGTTAGAACTTTCAGGTTTAAGATGATAAATAATTTCTTATCCAACATAATGGAAGCCAAGGGGACTTCTAGAGCTGATAACCTGTACTTTACTTTTACTTTGATTCTAACCCTACCAGCTGAAATTGGCATTGATACATTAATACACTAGCAATTCTAGCCTCTAAAATTCCATTTAAACTGTACTAATAAGATAAGCTTTTGCAAACTGGTAGGTTTAAAAAACCAAACGGTGTATCTTTTATTTTTCTCTTGCAGGCTAAATTAGCATACAAAAGGCATGACCATTCTTAAAAGAAAAAAAAAGAGTATTTCTACTGTGTTAGAACTTTCAGGTTTAAGATGATAAATAATTTCTTATCCAACATAATGGAAGCCAAGGGGACTTCTAGAGCTGATAACCTGTACTTTACTTTTACTTTGATTCTAACCCTACCAGCTGAAATTGGCATTGATACATTAATACACTAGCAATTCTAGCCTCTAAAATTCCATTTAAACTGTACTAATAAGATAAATTTTTGCAAACTGGTAGGTTTAAAGAAAACAAAACAAACAAAAAACAAAAAAACAACCAACATCTTATTTAACTATTTTTAAAAGTATACGAGAACACGAAGTACCTTGTCTACATCCGATTCATAGACTAAGTGCCTGGCTTCAGCTAGTGCATGGTCATAGTCTTGTGGGAGAATCCAGTGCTGAATCTCCTCTTTGTCCATCTTTCCATCCTTGTTGAGGTCACGAAAATCTGAGAACTGTTCACGCTCTGTAATCACCCAGTCAGGCTCTGGTCCCCCCTCTTCATTTGCAAACATATCAGCTGGAGAGGAAATAAAGGTCTCACTTGAGTCACAGTTAATTTGCAAAATATGCACAAACTAAAGACACAGGGGTCCTGAGAGGAAGAATACACTGGAGAGGAAATAAAGGTCTCACTTGAGTCACAGTTAATTTGCAAAATATGCACAAACTAAAGACACTTGCACAGGGGTCCTGAGAGGAAGAATACACCTTTCAGTCTTTGCACAGTGTTTGGTTTTACTGAAAATGAAATGTGGGTGTAAACAGAGTGGCTGCGTGTATCTTCTCTCAGGTCTGTTTCTTCACTGCTGGTGATTCTGTCCATTCTTGCATTAACCTTGGATTGTAACTGTTCACTGCTAGTGAGGCTAACGTGAGAGGTGAACTTATCCAAAAGCCATTGTCCACTGAACTTCACAATGAAAAAAGTTCTTTAAGGATCTTTAGTTAAACAGCAATCATAAGCTTTAGTGTGGGCCTCAATCACGTGTGGAAAAAGGAATTCGGCAACTTAATCTTGTCCCTGCCAGCAAATGTCTTTGTGGGTAAGATCAGACTTGAGCCAGCAGAGTGGTTAAGGGGAAAAAAGGTAAAGGGAAATTTAGGAAAACAGATATTGCTAAATGGAACTTGAATGCTTTTGTCCGGCTTCTAGAGAAGTCTGTGTAAGAGAAATTCATTTAGTAGGTGAGTCCTTTTTTAACCATGCAGTGCTGCAGCACACTCTACTAGAAGGAATTCTTCTACAAAGAAAAACCTGGAGCAGTCATGAATCAGTGGTGCATTCTGTGAGAGAAACCACAGGCAGTGCACTCGTCATAGGTTGGTACCCTGGGATGGAGTACCACTTGTGATATAGGATGCGTAGATTATGTATACAAACTGTTCTGTACATCAGTCCTGTGCTATATTTAGGAAGCATCAGTAGGAGAATGACACAGTGGCAGCAGCTATCTGTATAAACAGAGTTGGGAGAATAGCAGTGATTATTAAGAGCAAGTGACTTGATCTGTTCTTTACAGCACAGGTCTTCCATGCTATGAGTAGTGTGTCTGCTTTATTATCCTGGTCATTGTTGCCAACCAATTGTTTCCTGCTCATCAGGGCTGCTTATTCTTCAAGTCTTCTGCTTTTCTATTTATAGTTAATACCTGCTTTGTGAAAACTTTGTAAAAGACAAAACAGGAGGAAGGGAGGAATTGTTCTATAACCTTCAGCAGATTTCCCCTTCAAATACTTGATTTAGAGACTGTAATTTTTTTACTTTTTTGTTGTTCCTTATAACTACCAAAGAAGAGATTTGGGTTTGTTAATTTTTTTAACCCCAGCTTGATCAAAAATAAAAAATATTACACCTGAGAAAGGGAAGTGGGAATATTTTAGGCATAGTTTTCCTCAACTCATGAAGAAAACTTCAGACAACACACTCACTTTCTTTTTCATTTTTTAAAGTGCAAATTATATTGTTTATTTGAAGCAACAGACGTGTCCTGTCAATTTGACTCTTATCATCCTTGCCAATGTGGGGTGATCGTGACTAGAACATTCTATGTTCCTATCTATAGAAGACAAGAAAAACCAGCATTCACATGGTAACAAATGTTGACAATTACTTTATAATTATATGTAGGTAATGTCACTGAATGAACTGAAATTACTGTGGAAATTGTGCTGCTCTGTTATTTCAGTCATAAATGAATAGCATTCACATTCTGAGGCTAAATATAATTTACAAGGAATAGAAACCCCCTGCCATTAATTAATGTGTGTATATTGTTCCTGATTACACGTGAAGTGATCTTTATAGCACCACTAGAAACAGAAAGATTCATCTGAGTTTACACTAATGCTTTCCTGGTGCTACTTTCTCAATTTAAAACCCATCAGAGCGAGTGCAGTGGGAGAAGTTAGCTTTGGGTATCAGCATAATGATCCAAAAGCCTAAAACATATCACATTACTGCTGCTCTCCGGTCCTCCTACCCTTTTGTCTTCATAAGCCTAAGTGGAAGACAGCAGCTGATTGCCTGGTGTCACTGAAGTTTGTGCAAATTCACTGTGACTTATCTGCTGTTGATGTTTCCCATTCTCTTCTCTTACTGCCACTGAAGTAATGCACAGCTGACTTTCACACACTTCACAACTTCTTTGAGGATATTAAATCTTAGTGCTATTTTTACACAGTTCCTTTGTAATGTATTTTGTATATCGAGAAGAAACATAATGGCAACACCACACAAATCATTAGAGAAGTATGGGGTTTTACTTACTAAATTAGGAAAAAAATAGTTGAAAAAAGGTGAATTTTCTTTTTTACAATGTGTGCTTCCCACCTATTTCGCATATTCAACTACCATTGAAACTTGAGAAGAGTCTAATTTACTTTCTGATCCTCCTGCATTTCTAAACAATGCCTTCAAAAGCTGATAATATGGTCAAGTATACAGAGAGTACGTCTGCCATGAAAAATATTATTCCAGACCCTCTAAACCAAATTTTATGAGAATAAGAGGAGAATCTTACTACACTGTAAAGTGTGAGGAACCTTTTGCTGGTGATGTTGCTATCTGCCTAAAATGAAATTAAACTTTTTGAGTTGGATGGTTGAAAAATAGTTGAACCAGAGCCCAGAAATGTTCATCTTTGGGTTGTTACTACTGCTGTAGATTTAAGAGAAGGTGGTCAAATGGACTGGAGGTTATATAAGAAACAAATCTCAACACTTACCAATGTACTCATCTTGATCCACAAAACCATCCCCGTTTTTGTCTATGTCTTCTAAGGTTTCCTGGAAAATAGTTTTGCATCGAAGTAATCAAGACAGAACTGAGATAATTTGATAATTTCATCTTTTGAGGCCCTGACCTGCCCTTGTACACAGTGTGACTGTTGTTTATACAATGAATATACAAATATCCTTTCATGTTGAAAAAAAATTCCCCACATGAATGAATTGGACACCATGCTTAAGTTTTAAGTTAGGGGCAGATACAAGCTTGCATCAAACACTTTGCTGCTGCATGTCAGCATACCTTTCTTTTTATTTTGGGGTAAGTCTGTGGCCCAGGACTGTTCCTTGATTCCATCTAGGAACTAAGTGCATTTAACAAGTATTTCTAATACTGAGAGCTCTAAATCAAGTGAATTTTGTGAAAGGCATCCCTTTCTGTTCCCCACTTGGCTTTTACATGTGTGTCTCTTTCTAAACCCTACATGGAAGGGTTAAAGAAGCATTTCAAAGTTCATTAAAAAAAAAAGTAAAAATATTGTAATTGGTTTTGCGCTGCTTACTAAGACAACAATGTTTTTCATATGTTCAAACTCCTCTGGGTGAAGGAAGGCAGTGAATTCTTCACGAGTGGCAGATAAGTCTCCATCCAGATCTGCAGTTTTGAATCGTCTTTCATCTCTGGGCAGCATTTTTTTAAAACTGTGCTGATCAGTTGCATCTTGGAATTCTTCTGGATTTTCTGCAAATTAATCAAGACTATCTCAAAAGTATGTTCCTTTTAAAATGTTACCACAACAAAGTACCCCAATTTGCTGTTAGGATCTAGACATACAAAGGGTTTATTGCCAGAATAGCTGCTGTGTTAAAATGGAACTTCTATTTCCCTTGAAGTTTTAAATTTAGAGGTCAAACACTTGGTTGGATTTTTTTAAAAGTGACTTAGTACTATAGGTCAATATCTGAGTAAGCCTTCTGTTGTTATGCAGGACAATGGATTTTTCAGTATTGTATATTCTTCATAGATTTCTTTTTTTTTTTTTTTCAAATCTGCTTTTACGAGCACTGCTTAGGCAGATTTCATTCAAAGAAGTTTTATTCTTCTTAGGAATCAGTATGATCTATGCAACTTTTCAGTTTCAAAAAGCAAGTAAACCAAAGAAAAGTCATTTCAGAAGCTGGCAGACTGACTGAAACTAACTGCTACACCTCTGCTACAGGGAACGTAACAATTATTTTCAGTTCAAAACACTGACTATTTTTCAGGGTGTTCAGCAGCATAAAGTGAATGGTATAATTTTTAAAATAGCATCACTAAACTCACTTCAAACATGAAAAATACTCATGACACTTTCACAATTCACATGGTGGAAGAAAAACACAGTTGAAAAAGATTAGGCCAGGTATCACAGATGGGAATTCCAAGCGTGCATTAACACAAGACCACAATGTAGTAGCTGTTTTTCAGATCTTGTGGACTACAGAGAGCAAAGATGAGGAGCTGAGAAGGGCTCCCAGGGACACTGCTGCAGCGATTGTGTGTCAAATATTTCCTTCCATGAATATAATAAGCTCCATTTTAATCTAAAGTAGACTTTGTACTTATTACTGCTACTGGAAGCTTGCTCCAGAAACCGCCTCTATGGTAGGTAGATATTGTCTTCTCATTTCCAGTATAAATGGTCAATTAATAACAATTTGTTGTTCTGTCTGGATTGCCCTTTAGCTTAAGTGATTTCGTCTCCTCCTTTCCTTTCATTAACTTATAAAAAACATAGGGAATGTATGGGGGGGAAGATTCAGATGTATTTTTAAATATGTGCTTCTTTTGCCTGATTTGTTAAGGATTTTCATTTGCAGTTGATCACAGTCTGAAGCATATTATTCTGCAAGAACTTTGCTATAGCTTAGACCCAGCCTAAATTTTTAGCATCTAGACTCTTAACATTTTAGAGAGACTGAATTAACAAACAATTTGTTGTTCTGTCTGGATTGCCCTTTATCTTAAGTGATTTCATCTCCTCCTTTCCCTTCATATACTCCCAGTCAACAGAACTGTTTTTCTCACTATATCTCTATATTAAACTATATCTCACTATATCTGATTATTATATCTGATTATAAGAGGAAGAAAGTGAAGTGTTTTAAAAATTCTGTACCTCCCATTGCTATAGCTTAGACCCAGCCTAAATTTTTAGCATCTAAACTCTTAAAATTTTAGAGAGACTGAATTAACAAATACTGGTTAATTATGCAATATATATATTTAATTAAAGTACTATTTTTAATGTTTAAAAAAATAATATATTTTTAACTGGAGGAGACTTTAATTCAGCTTCTTTGGTACATTTAATAATCCCCCTACAAAACCTTCTGTGTTCTGGTGACCCATGTAGAAATGGCTGCAATACTAAGAAGTGCTTTTGACCTCCGAGCATCTATTTTTTAACTGGAGGAGACTTTAATTCAGCTTTGGTACATTTAATAATCCTCCTACAAAACCTTCTGTGCGCTGGTGACCCACATGGAAACGGCTGCAATACTAAGAACTGCTTTTGACCTCTGAGCATCTACAAAATTTAAAGCGGTCTTCAAGAGTCCTAACTGTGACACCAAACTCCTGTTGACTATAAGGCATGACATCATGCCTTATAACCTCAATAGTCTTTAAGTATACATTCTGAAAATGTCGTCTTACCTAGATAATAACCGTATGTGGCCTGTTTGTATTCCTCCCAGGCAATTTTATTGTCCTTGTTTAGATCATAGTCTTTCCAAACTTTGGCCACATTTTCATAGATATAGCGTTTCTGTACCCGTTTAATCCAGGTTTTTAATTCCTCTGTTGTGAGATAGCCATCTTTGTTGTCATCTATTCTATCCACAATCTTCCTGTAAAAAGAGACCAGCATCCTTAAGAGTTGAACAAAAAACCAAACTACGTGTCATTCCAATTTTAGTAGTCTTTATCTGGCCCTGATTTTCTACAAAAACACAGTGCGTCAAACTTATAAAGCTGTCCTACTGGCTAAGGCTTTCTTGCATTTTGCAGATTATATAAAGGGATATATTTTTATTCATTATGGAACATGCACAATCAAAATTAGTGAAAAAAGTACCTCAGATAACACCTGGATTTTTTTAGGTTTTAACTACTAATTTAGGGGAACCTGTTCTTCACTGTTGATGGAGTGGCCTGGGCTGAGAGTGGGAGACAGCAACTTTGCCCTGGGAGAAAGGCTGTACTGCAGCTTGCTGGAGGCAATTGGGGCAAAAAGCTAGGATTCCTGGACACTAGCAGTTTTTCCTGTGGCCTTCCAGCAGACTGATCTCAGGGTGGACTGAGTTATGTGACTGGGCATGTAGACCATTCACAGTCTTCCCTTCCATTTGTGTTCTTCCACTTCTGTTTCTTTTCTTTCTTTCCCAGCAAAAAGCAGGATTGCTTGTGTTGCCAGGAATGCCTGTTACTCTCTAAAGCAATAGCCACTCTGCAGCAGGTCTCCTGGCAGCTGGGCTATAAGCCACTGTCCTGTGTAAAACTCCTAGCCTCAAGTCCTGTTGAAATCACCAGGGAAACTTCCATCTTTGAAAAGTTCTGCACACAGCTGCAGATAAAAACAACTTGAAAAACTATGTCAAAAAAAAAAAAAAGGTAATGCCCTCCCCTACCATTTCGATTCTCTGCAATAAATCTCTCAAGGCATGCCTGTAATTGTTAAACTCCACCAGTTTGGGTTTGAGCTTGTAAAACTGGCTTCAGTCCCAGCTACAGTGGTAGACCAGATGATAAAAACCTTTATCTAAACTAAGAATGCAGCTTTAATCCCACAATTTGTAGGTAAGCTTATTATATTCTGGGCACTGGCTTGTGGGAAAACTATGTACCCTGCTCCTGGAACTGGGGCAGTTAGCACCGTGGTTTTTTCTGCACATCCAGATTGGCTTTGGCCACATCAGCTGTTTTAACCCTTGTATCACTGCTCATGAGGCACAGGAGCAAACTAACTGTAGCTGCACTGCACCTAGTTCCATGACCACCCAGTGGCCACCTTGAGATAATCTAAATGACTATTCCCCATAGGCTCAACTACCATGGCTATGGACCAGTTATATTTTATTTGTAAGAAGGGATAAAAGCACATATTGACGAGGCTATATCGTGACTTGAGATTCAACAGGTGAGCTCCCTAAACCTCCAGGTAGCCAAAGGAGACAGGCAGAAGTTCTGCACTTTTAAATAGTCTTTGCAATTCAACATTTTGGTTCTCCACAAAGGAATGGATCCTGGCTGACTGGAACTGCTCCACTAGTGAAACAATGTCTTTTCCTAAGCCTTACCTATGAGAGTGGTAAGTAGAGTCAAACAGCAGCAGCAGCTTCTGCTGAATTTCCAGCAATCTTCTCTGAGTCTGATAGTAGCTGACAGAATGTATAAGCACGCTATTTCTGAGCTAAGGGGGGGGAAAAGGGGCTGCTGAACTTGCTTCCCGAAGTAGTAAAGTGTGAATTAACTGGCTGAAAAACCTTTTCTCTTTTGTATAAATCTCATGGGGAATTGAGTGCAAAGGGTCCCTTTCACAGCATGATGGACTGTATTTGTCAATAGATTTGCCCCACAATGGATTTTATTTAATTGGTTAGCTGCTATTTCTTTCTGTTGTTAAATGTATTAGTTTACAATGATTCTGCTAGTAGCTCTTTGGCATTTTTAACATGAAAGAAAGCAGGACTGTTTACCAGAAAATGTTTCATGCCTCTTCCTTTTCATCCACACTCTTATTTCTATAGGTCCATTGCATCATGTGCATTATTTCACTCCACTTCCCAGTTGAAGATGGGGATAAAGAAAAAGTCTTGCCTACAGGCTCCCATGGGTAAGAAGCTATTGTATGGACTGAGGACCTCACTTCTTGTACTGTAAGTTACCTGTAAAATGGCTCAGGATCATTCTAAGTTTTGTAATGTACAATGGTCAGTCTGAGAAGCCTTAGTGCCTTTATTTTAAACAAACAGCAAAATTCAAGGAACATATTAACTGACACAAAATGCTAGCTCATACAAAGGGATTTACATGCTCAAGTGTGTAAAACCTGAAAGCTTACTGTTTCCCTTTAACTTAGGTGGAATTACAGTCGATATTAGTTTCCTACCTCAAAATAAAGAAGGTAGAGGGCACATGCAACAAGTATCTACAACCTGCTATTACAGAGATTTAAGCTGCCAGTCTGCAAAGACATCTGATGATGAAATAAAGTTGGGGCAAGGAAATCATTGCTATGAAGTGGTGAAAGAAGAAGGCTTCCCCTCTCCACCTGATGTGAGTACAACTGTATGTTGATAAACTCTGGCCTTGGCCTGTATAAAGAACAGAAATGTTGATGTTGTGAGGATCTGTGACCATCTTCTGTGTTCTCTGAAAATGACAGGCCCATTACAAATGGCAAGGAAAAGGTTCAGAGGACTGGTCCTTGGAGGCTGCACCAGGATTATGTCATGCTTCTCCAAAGCCAGGTGAGTTGTGGTACTGTGCATGGGTGGCTAACATGTGATTCCCCCC